CTTTACCACACTTGGTTTCCAGTTACTGGGGTGGTAAACAAAGGCTTTTCCTCCACAGTGTTAGAGTGAATTCCTTCACTCTTGGAGAAGAGGGCAAAGTTTGGGGCCCTCATACCTGGGTCCCTGGATGTTTTTCCCTAGATGTCGGTAGGTGTGGTATAAGCCTACTCGTAATACCAGTTCAGATTTGATGCTCTGCTATATGGTTGGTGCGTGCATGGTCCTTCTTTTTGATCATTATAGATTCATGGTCTCCTCGTAATTCAGAATGCAGCCCATCCACTTTATCAGTATAGAATTCTAGATATAAGTGGGAGCAGAGGTATGTATGTTTTGGAAGTTAACATTTTCCTAAATTGAAAACTTATTTCCAATAATATTTGCTCCTTCATACACTATACCACTCTTCCTCCCCACTAAGAGCTGGTGTTAGAGACTGGGATTGAGTCAGTGAAACCTAACTAGTGATTTTTATAAAGAGATAATTATCTCTTCTGACTTGTAATCCATATGTATATAAATACATCCTAAATTTCTATTAGCCTTATCACTAGCAAGTAGCAACAAACCATTACTTCAATGACTTGAGTGACTTACCCATAGTCATGCCAAGGTTTTTCTTCAGTCACACTAGTGATTTGTTTTCCATCTATATTAAACATTATATCGAAATTATGCATTACCGTGCATTTACTATAATTAAAGGTAATTTTTACAAACAGGGAACTATGATCAAGGAATACCATGCAGAGCAGATAATTGGATATGAAAGTTTGCATTTCAACCTATGTGACAACAGCATTTTGTAGTGCTTTAGCAGTCCATTTTTTTCTCAGAGTTTCATAGGCATTTGTACCTTCTTTAAGGAGGAAGATAAACAACTTGGCTGATATATAATAGTTGTACAAAAAGATTGTACCTCTTGTTCAGCATTCCAGTTATGAGAGAGACAAGTTTTTCAGTTTCAGACATTTCTAATATCCCATCAGACAGGCCTGGCATGGCCTTGTGGCTACAGCACTTGATTTGCAATCTTTGGATTGCAGGTTCAAATCCTGTTACCGACCTTTCTCACCCTCAGTCATGAGAGCATCACAACGTAACAGTCAATCCCACTTTTAATTGGTAAAGAATGGCCCAAGAATTGACAGTGGATGATGTTGACTAGCTGCCTTCTTTCTAGTGTATCATTTCTACATTGGGGACCTCATCAGGACTTTGTTCACCAGAGTCAGCCTCAAGAGCTTTATTTCTTTGATGTGGCCTCTCATCCTTATTAAACACAAGCTGTGCAGACCCTATAAAGTACTAGCTAGGAGGAGGTGGGGTCCTCTATCCATACTCTTCTGTCTAGGTGGGTAATAGTCAGACACATTATATGAACCATTTCCATGGTCTAATATTGATTATGGTCAAGATTACCATCTACATCCACTTCTGTTATGAAGTCTCTGCCTCTGTAACCACCTCTTGTCCGAACTTATCTTCCTTATTTAATACCTCTGCCACCACTACATTGCAAGCTGACACACTGTCCCATCCTCATGTAACAAATCATGATCAGTGCTAGATCTTTTGCTTCTCTAGTGAGGATATCCACATTTCTGCAGAAAAAAACAAGACATGCTCAACCATGCTTTCACTTATACTAGAATTGTCATCCTTATCTAAAAAAATCAAAGGTGAATGTCAGAGAAGGTTTGGCCCAAATAGGATTTGAATACTGGATGCCTATAAAGTGTGTGCTGTATTTATGTATCTCAAGATGAATAAATTACTTAACATTGAGTAGTGGGCCTAGGAAATGTCCTATAAGCAAATTTTGAATTTTTCTATGGTGTCACAAAGCAAAGATTCTATGGTGAAAACATAAATTACCTCTTTTAGTGCCTTTGAAACTATGTAGCAAAAATGGCAAAAAACCAACAAAGTTCTACACAAGGAATTTCTGCTGAGGTGAAGAGGTTAGTGAGTGCCTGTGTTATGTATTTCAGTTACAAGCTGCTCCTTTCTCTGGTCTTCTTTACTGTATCCTTTTTGCTTTGGGGAGGTGGATTCTCTATGCCAAGAAGAGTAACTTTTATATCTATAACTACCAATTATGACATATTTTATTATGAATTTTAATTGCCCTCTTGGGGCTAGCTCAGTCTTAATTTCTAGTTTCTTAAGTCTGTCTTTTCAGGATTATCTTTAATTTTTTCTTTAACACATTTTTCTATGTCAACCCCCTCTTGCTGATCATTTTTCCCACGTCAGTTAATTAGCTCTATCTCATTATTGCTGTTGTTTATGGATTCTCTATGTTCCTATAGTCTTTTTATAGACAGTAGTGCTTATGATTGTCTTCTCTCCTTTTTCCAGTTTCTTTCCTTACTCACTAACTAGTGAATCAAGTGGTTTTTGTTTTTTCTCGTGACTTTTTCTAACCTTGTTTTTCTTTTTTTAGTTCAGTAAGTCTAAATTTTGTATTCTCAGCTGCCTTTTTAGGTTATGTTTTTTTTTACATTTAATATTCATGTTTTATGTGCAGTTAGTCTATTTTTGCTTCTTGTTCATTATTTTGTCATTCTTTAAAATTATTTTCATTTTGTTATAGGTATCTGGTTGATAAAGATCCTAATTGTATAATATTAATGCTTTTTGTGTTCTATAAGTGAGATACCATAAATTCCTTTATATGGATGTGCTGATTCCCAAGACTTAAGAAGATAGTAATACGAGGCCTGTGAGAAAAGTATCCGACCTTATTTTTTTTTGCGATAACCTGATGGATTTGAATCAAGCGCGCTTGCATGAGCCGACCTTGAACCTTCGTGCGCATGCGTGAATTTTTTCCCGCTTGTTGATTGCGTCAGTTGTTGGCAAGCAGCCATTGAGTGAGGTAGTGTGTAGTGCTCTCGTCGATTTTTCATTGCAAGGAAAATGACGGAACGACTGGAGCAGCGCTACTGCATCAAATTTTGCCAGAAACTCGGCGACAGCCAGGTGTAAACCATTTGGAAGATTCAGATGGCTTTTGGTGATGATGCTATGGGCATCACACAGATTAAGGAGTGGTACAACCGGTTTAAAGACGGCCGCACAACGGTGGAGAGCGAGCCACGCTACAGTCGGCCATCAACATGCCGAAATGACCAGGTCATTGCCAAAGTGAACCCAGGATAAACTAAATACAAAGAAATAAGATGTAGAGAAAAGTTTAGCATAGGAAATGAGCATAGAAGTAGTCCTAAGAGTAGGCTTAATTGTTACTATAGTAATGCTAGAAGTATAAGAAATAAAATAGATGAACTTCGAGCTTTGGTAGGAATGGGGAACTTTGATGTAATAGAAATAACTGAAACATGGTTAAATATAGATGATTTTGATGACAGAAATTTCTTTGAAATACAGGGTTATAGGGTATTTAATAGAGATAGAGTACTAAAGAGAGGGGGGAGTGACTTTATATGTAAAATGTAAGTTACACCATGTTGAAGTCG